GACAGTTAGAACGATTAATCAGTGGAACAACTTGCCTCCAGAAGTTGTGAATGCTCCAACACTGGAGGTTTTTAAGAAGAAGTTGGAAAATCATTTGTCTGAAGTGGTGTAGGGTTTCCTGCCTAAGCAGGGGGTTGGACTAGAAGACCTCCAAGGTCCCTTGCAACTCTGTTATTATATATTAATTGCTAGAATGGCCATTTTAGACAACTGCCTGTCCAGAAGCAGCTTTTCACCTAAGGATGCTGTTATCCTCTTGGCTCAATTGCACCTGGCCAAAAGATGCTGCTGGTGACCAAACTCAGGGGCAGCCACATCTTGAAGACCCTTTTTAATGCATACGAGACTGCATTCTATTCAGAAGCCATCTATGATACCGATCTAGGGAGGGAGGGAGGAGGAAACTGTGGTTGACTTTGATGTACCACTGTCTGCCATTTTTCTCCTTGGCATTCCCAACCCTTTTGGACCTCTTTTCCAAAGAGACAGTCTGCATACTGGTCTGCTCAGGTTGAGGCCCATTAGAAATTCAGGGGCTGCCAAATACAATACTTCCCTTCCTCCCCCAAAAGGACAATTCAAAATAGAATAGATAGGAAGACCCTGCATGACGTGGTGTCTATCACCACCCCCAGATGATTGAGCCTGGTGGTGGGTATAAGGTGGCTTTTCTCCAGATTTAGGGAAAAGCCGTGGTTTCTGTGGGTCCTCATTGTGCTGTGAATGTCCCGCAAGGCCTGCTGCCTGGACGACGACTGAATGAGGATGTCGTCCAGGTAGCATTGCAGCCTTATGAGCCTGCATCTGAGATGGGCCGCTACTACCGCCAGGATCTTTGTGAAGGTCCTGGGCACCGATGATAGGCCGAATGGAAGGGCCCTGTATTGAACGTGTCGGCTGGCATAGAAGAAGCGCAGGAACCTCCTGTGCTGAGGGCGAATGGGGATATGGAGATATGCCTCCTTTAGGTCAATAGAGGAGAGAATGTCTCCCTGGCGGATCCCCGCCAGGATGAACTGAAGGAACTGCATCTTGAACCTCTAGTAGGTGATGTGCCTGTTGATGTTCTTGAGGTCCAAGATGGCCCTCCACCCTCCCGAGTTCTTTGGCACCAGGAAAAGAATGGAGTAATACCCCCTGCCTTTCTGATCGGGGGGCACCTGCTCTATCGCATTGATCTCCAAGAGATGGAGGATCTCCTGGTTCATCAGCTCCCTCTTGAGAGGGCAGGAGGGAGTGGGGCACCTGATGAAGTTTCTGGGAGGAGGGGACAGGAATTCCAGGGAGAGGCCCTCCCTAACAATCTGGAGGACCCAGGTGTCCTCCATGGTCTGAGCCCAATGGGAGGCAAACAGCTGGAGACGACCCCCAATGGGCGACGAGTTTGGGCAGTCACTTGGACTTGTGGAAAGGCCTGTTAGAGGCTCCACCACGGTAATATTTGTGAAACCCAAACTGTTGCCTATCCCTGTCCCGAAAGGAGGATCTGTCCTGTGCCCTATCCCCCGAGTGGCCGGGAGGTCTGTTGGGGGAGTTGAAGGAGGAAGAGGTGGAAGGCTCTGAGGAACGAAAGGACTGCCTTCTAGAGTAAGGAGCAGACTTACGGTCCTACTTCTTAGAGGTCGATGGCAGAACCTTCCTCTTATCCTTTGATTCAATGAGGAAGAGGTCCAGAACCTTCCCAAACAATTTTGATCCCTTAAAGGGGGAAGAGGCCAACTTCCATTTATGTTTCTGGTCCGCCTGTCAATGGCGGAGCCAAATCAGACAGCGGGATGTAACATTGGATGCCAGGACCCTGGATGCAAATTTAGTGGCATTAAGGGCGGCATCTGCCGCATACTGGGAAACTGCAATAATCTTGGTCACGTCCTGACGGAGGCCCATGTCCCCCGCCGGGAGCTTATTCAGGAGTTCGCGCAGCCAAATGGCCCTGCTAAAAAGGGAAGCGGAAGAAGACACCTTAATGGCCCAGGCAGCCACAAGGTGAGTCTTGTGGCAGGCCTTCTCCGCCTTCTTATCCTCTGCCTTGAGGCCCTCCAACAGGTCTGCAAGGAGGGAGGAGTTGGATGTAAGAGCTGCAATGGGAGGGGGGGAAATAGCAGTTAGCAGTTAGACTTATATACCGCTTCATAAGAGGTTTACAGAGTCAGCATATTGCCCCCAACAATACGGGTCCTCATTTTACCCACCTCGGAAGGATGGAAGGCTGAGTCAACCTTGAGCCGGTGAG